CCGAATGTTTCCTTATAAGGAAACGGCTAATGTTACCCTTAACAGGTTTTATTTGTCAGGCGCTTTCCGACGTTGAGTTCGTTTATCAGGAAGTCACTGCCATGGCGTATCAACAATGGGGAGATTCGAACCTAGTTTTAACGGTAGGAACGCTCAGGTTCTTACCACATTGGACAGCACGAAGCTTGATTGATACGGAAAGAGCGGAATTCGAATCCCAGTCGTGGTGAACCAAAAACTTAGAGAGTTCAGTTAAATGGAAATAAGAGAGATAACCGGAAGAGTCATGGCACGTGGAACTAGAACAATGTACAATTTACGGTGGACGAAATAAAAGGTTTCGGTTCGAAATTAGAATCACCTGAAGAAGGCCGGGATAGGGGGGTACAAGAGGAGGAGAACAACAACACTTAGAAAACAGTCTGCCTGCTTTATGTGAATGGGGTTATCAGAGAAAATACAAAGGATCTGCGGTCCATATAATATCAGGAAAACCTTCAAAAGCTTGATAAAACTTCGCAGGTATCTCTCCCGCGTAAGACCCCCCCCATAGAGGAGAACATGACTAAAGACTGTGTGAACGTTATCCCGTGCAGCTGTGGAAAGATATATAAAGGGGAAACAGGCCGCCCTCTTAAGGTAAGGCTTCAAGAACACCAGAAAGCTGTAATACGTGGGAAAGTGGAAAAATCAGGCGTGGCTGACCACATATGGAGAGAGAAGGGAGATCCTTGCCCTCTGTGGGATCAGGTTGAGATCATAGGCAAGGAACACCATTGGAAAATTCGTAAACTTAAGGAATCAGCACATATGCTAGGCCAGAAAAATCTCCTGAGCCGACGAAGCATAGAAATAAATACAATATAGGAACCAGTAATAAGGTGTGCCAGAGAAAAGCAATGATAACAACAAAGTTGCAATATGAGCTCTCATAAAAACATAAAATGATAACAGCAGAAAATTGCAATATGAGCACTGGTAAAAATGGTTGCTGCAGACATTAGGTTTATAAAACCCAAAAATTCATACACAGATGTCCTCAAGGACACATGACACAGTGGATAAAGTCGTTGGTTAGATCCAAGAGTGTGAGTTCAATACCCGGTTAAGGCAGTGGAGAACTTTCAGAGGGGAAATTAACTGGAGATAACTGATAGCTGACATCCATTAAACATGGCACGTTGAACTAGAACTAGAACAGTCTACACCAGTGAGCGAAATAAAGGGTTCAGTTTGACATTCCAACCACCTGAAGAAGGCAGGCTGGAGCGTACAACGACCGAAACGTTGTAATAAATATGGCGACAAAGATGAGGACAATAGTCCGAATAATGTAAATAATGTAAAGAGTGGCGTTTGATGAAAGGATATAGAGAAGGACGGGGATCGGGATCAAGGCATCATTTGAAGATTATAGCTATCAGGGAAGCAAGTAAGAGGAAGGGAGTTCCACTGTCGGGAAGTGCGAGAGAAGAAGCTGTTAGAGTAGAAGAGGCGGTTACATTTAACTGCTTCGACAGTGAAAGGGTGTGACCTAGATGCCAACCTAGTAGCATGTTTAAATTCCTGCAGTTAGAGCAGTTGCCATGAAAATAGTTTTGGAAAAGACAGAGGGAAGACATAGTACGTCTGTGTGAATGTGACTGTAGACGAGATGCCAGATCAAGACCTATCACATTGCATAATCATCTCTCGATTTTGTTGCGGACCTCGAGATGAATATATACGTTTACAGTATTCAATACCAGGACGAATGGTTGATTTGTAGATTTGATGAATGTACTCGGACGAGAAAAAACCTTCTGGCGCGACACAGAGAACCAACGGCAGATGAAGCTATTGATTCAGTGTAGTTGTTCCACATCAGGTCAGTGGAAAACTTGATACCAAGAAGGCGTAGAGAGGCGCTCTCGTGCAGTTGGGCATCATCCATTTTGATAGTAGGGTTCTCTATGGCGGGTAAATGAGAGCAGTTTCGTTTTGGATGCATTAATGTTTGCAAGACATTTCCTGTCGCAGTCAACCACAGATTGGAGGTCCTTTACGAGACCAACCCATTGTTACCAATACTGGATTTGGTATTGAGGCAGGAGTAAAGAGTAGTGTTGTCTGCGTAGATGCCTACTTGAGAACTGATGGGAGAAGCTTGTTATCCATAGTTATTTGTGTAGTCCTAAAGCACTGGTTTTGGTTTGGCAACATCAAATTTCTCTTCTTTCCCCGAATAATTACACGCGCCGACCGTAAAAAAAAAGAATGCTTGCGAAACTATTTTAGTACATAGCAGATACCCCAGTGAAATCGACTCTATCTTGACTTGATACTAAGTGAACTAAAGAAAAAAAGCTTAAGAAATATATTTGTATGACTTTGCAGAATCAGAAACGCGTGCACAAATTTCAGTCAAGTGTGATGTGATCTCTTTCGTACTGATGCAATTGGGAAAAGATTGAATCCATTTCTCCGACCGTAAGTTAGAGATTAGATATTAGGCTAGTTTGGACTCTAGCGTCTTCATTGGCATAGCGGAAAGAAAACTACAGAGCCTCATAGAGAAGTTAAAAGGCAGAGAGAGAGAGAAAAAAAGAATAAGCATTTTAGTATTTCTAATTTGTAATTTGCCTGTTGAGCTGTTCATTCTGATTCCAAACATGCATTGTCTTTTTATCTCAGAGGTTTAGCTCTTTTTTTTTTCGCTTTCTCTCATTATCTTCTGTAGGAGTTGCTGTAGTTTCCTTTCTCCTGTCTAATGTCAATGCATTGTCTTTTGCAGATGTCGTATTATTAAAATTTTGGCCACCAATCATGAATCCCGGAAGGACTCCTAATATTCTCAGAATGGCCTCCCTATACCGGGTGAAAAGGCAAAATTGTCCAAATCGTGTTACAGCATAATTATCCATCCCAGAAAATGTTTAATATCTAAGAAAAAAAAAAAAAAACACTAAACTATTTGAGTTTCTTTTTTCCAGGTTTTCAGTTAAGACGTTCAGCCATCTTGGTACCATTTGTGGTAAGAATCACGAAAGAAACTATTTGAGTAATTCAGAACAGGTTAAAATCGTTTAGTGTCAGACACAATGTCTTCCCAACTGAGTAATGGTGAGAGGGAAAATCACTGAGGTCTTCAGTAATCGTAAAAATATACATACTGTGACTTCCATTTTCAAAGACCATTGAATAACAATCAACAGAAAGGTGAATAAGTTTAAAAACAGGAAACAGAAGAGAGGTGAACTTTGTCAGGATCAAGAAGAGGGATCATAGAGTTAAAGAGATCAATTAGAAAAGATCCAACTCAATTCATAAGACATTTGGCATGTGAAAGTGGAGTTTCAGATATGATAGTCCAAGAGCAGTGAAAAAAAGACTTGAAAATGAAATCGTTCGTGAAACGTGTAAAACACCTTCTTACTCCAGGAAGTTAGTAGGTTAAAGTGGGCTGAATTCATCTTGAATAAGTTCTAAAATGATCCTGGAATTATATATATATATAATTCCAGGATCATTTTAGAACTTCATATATATATATATATATATATATATGAATGTATATATGTTTGAACTTTATTTCAATCCTTCATGAGCTTCCAACCAACTTCAATAAGTTGAAAATGATCCTGGAATTATATATATATATATATATATATATATATATATATATATATATATATATGAACTTTATTTCAAACCTTGATGAGCTTCCTATCCTTAGCTATGAGCATGTCATTTTCGTTTATGATCCACTTTATCACGATTTTTCTGTTGCGGTTATATATTCTTATTGCTCAATATAGAATCCACTATTGTTATGAAACCCTCGGAGAATTCCAGCAAGATATCTTTCATCATTTCTAAGATACAACGTTCAAAAGCTTAATCAAACAATTGGACAAATTTACTGTTACACCCAGTGTAGGTTAGAAAGTTCCGATGCAAAGATACATCTTTTGTCTTACACCGCTTTTCATTATTGTATATTTACTGAACTCGGAATAGAATAAAATAGAATGATAAATACATAGATAACAGAATAGGTATATATATATATATATATATATATATATATATATATATATGAAGAAAAATATACGAAAAAAAAAAACAAAAAAATCTAATATGCAATTATACTGTTTTAATGTTATTATAATGTCAACGTCGGACGTTTCGGTCTACTAGACCATCTTCAGGACATATTCATAAAATATAATTAACATTAGACTATATTTAATTCAACATGAAAAGACGATGGACATAAGAGTAAGTCTAATCAAAACAGACAACTGAAATTTTTCAAGATCAGCGTTCCGTCTTCTAATGTTAATTATGTTTTATGAATATGTCCTGAAGATGGTCTACTAGATCGAAACGTCCGACGTGGACATTATATTAACATTAAAACAGCATAATTGCATATTAGGATTTTCGTTTGTTTTTTCCGTATATTTTTCTTCATACTGTCGGATCTATATCCATATATTTGCTTACACACACACACACACACACACACACACACACACACACATAATAATATATATATATATATATATATATATATATATATATATATATCAAGAGTATAGGATATCTAGCTTGCTTGATGGAATAACTGGCATAAAAAGAGAGAAACAAAAAAAAGAAAGAGCCATGAACAGTCGTAAATTGCTTAATACATTAATAAATAGAAAAATAAAGAATATAGAGATATTTTTTTCGGTGAGCTCTGTGGCTATGTAGATGATGAAAAAGACTGATAGCTTAATGTTCGTCCAGATTTAGAGAGAGATAAGTGCGATGGTGTTAGAGCATAAAGTCGATTGAGAATAGCAGGAAAAAAAAGAAAGAAAAAAAAACGACGCATGGAGAACTGCAAATATCAGTCGGCCTGGCGGGAAATGTTGTTGTTGATGATGATGATGATGATGATGATAGTTTTGATGTTGATGATGATGTTGATGATTGCTGAAGTAGGAACTTTCTTTTGTACCAGATAACAAAGGTTAGTGTAAAAGCCATAAAAATAATTCAGGGTGTTTGCCAAAGAAAGACAGAAAATGAAAGTAAAAAAATGAAGAAAGAAATAAAGAAAGAAAGAAAGAAAGCAAAAGAAAACAAAAGAAAGAAAATGAAAGAAAGAAAAAGCAAAAACGAAAGAGAAAAAGAAAGAAAATGTAAGAAAGAAAAAAAAGGGAAAAAGAAAGAGATAAAGAAAGAAAAAGAACGAAAGAAAGTGAAAGAAAGAAAAAAGAAAATGAAAGAAAGAACGTGAAAATGAGAAAGAAAGAAAATAAAAAGAAACTAAAAATAAGAAAAAAATGAAAGAAAATCAAATCAATAAATAAAAATAGATGAAAGAAAGTAAGAATGAAAAAGAAAGAAAATTAAATAAAGAAAGAAAAAGAAAGAAAGGAAGAAACAAAGAAAGAAAGAAAAAGAAAGAAAATGAAAAGAAGGAAAGTCGGGAATTTAGAAAGAAAGAAAAGGAAAAAGACAAAAGTGAAAAGAATGAAAGAAAGACGGCGTGGTGGAAAGAATAAAAATGAAAAAAAGTTAGAAGAAACAAATATGGGAAGGCAGAAAAAAAGAAAGAAAGAAAGAAAGAAAAAAGGAAAAAAGAATGAGAAAAAGAATCAAAATGAAAGAATGGAAAGAAAAAGGGTAAAAGTAAGAGATAAAGAAATAAATTAAATAAAGAAAGAAATTGAAAGAAAGAATATGAAAGAGTGAAATAAAAAACAGATGAAAGAAAGTAAGAAGGAAAAATCAAGAAAATTAAATAAAGAAAGAAAAAGAAAGAACGGAAGAAACAAAAAAAAAAGAAAGAAAAATAAAGAAAATGAAGAAAGAAAACGAAAAGAAGGAAAGTCCGAAAAAGAAAGTGAAAAGAAACAAATATGGGAAGGTAGAAAGAAAGAAAAAAAGAAGAAAAGAAAAAAGAAAGATGGCGTGGTAGAAAATAAGGCAGAAAGAGATGAATAAATAATAAAAAAAACGCTTAGAATGACCGAGAAACTTATAGGCAAAGGAAAAAAAAACAGGGGCAATCATAATATGATCTTTTAAGGCAATCGAAAGTTTATTCCTCCCTGTGTTCATATCGGAAATGATCTTGTGCCAAACATAATTTAATAAAGACTGATTGATAACCATGCCATAGGTAAAAAAAATAAGATATTTTGATGTTTACAATGACATTAGAAATATATATATAAAAAGATATTTTTGTAGGTACCAAATTTAATGATCGAAATAAAAGTATAAAACTTAATATTACTAGACATATTAAAAACGGGCGAAGCAACCGGTTTCGCTCCCGCTCTTCAGGCTTCAATGGGGGGATTTAAAATTAACAAAGACAAAATGTACAATAAAAGGAAGTTGTGGGAGAAAGAAAAAAATAAATAAAAAATAAAATAGCAAAAGGAACTAGTGACAAATGACAGCGAGCCCCAACAAACACACACGTTGTTTACAAAAGAAAGCTTAAGGGACCTGATGTAAAGTGCCTCCAGTATATATATATATGTGTGTATATATATATGTGTGTATATATATATGTGTATGTATATATATATATATATATATATATATATATATATATATATATATATATATATATATATATATGAATGTATAATTTATTTTATGATATTACCGCAAAAACGTCAAAAAAACGCGACACAATTGAAGTCGTGTTTCGAAGCGAATCAACGTAAAATGTTAAAAATAAAGATTATTGCTCTACTCTGTATTGAGCCGTCTTTTTAAATTAAATATTCCGAAAGTTTCAATTGTACTTATTTTACATCTATCTATCTATCTATCTTGACGTCTTTGAATGTAACTGATATATTGATACAAATTATTAACCCTTACACTCATTTTCTTTATATAATTGCTCTAGCCGTTACCATAGTAATTTTAATTTTAATAATGAATATGCTTATAAAACGCGTAAATTTCATGAATTAGTTATTCCAAAAAAAATTTCGCTTGAATATGGAACAGAGCTTAGTACTTTAATTCAATTTAATTTAAATAATTATATTGGAGTTTTCGGCTCTTGTTTTGAAACATGAGAACTTTTATGTAGCGTTGGAATCATATTTTTAAATAAATAATTATATATATATATATATATATATATATATATATATATCCCACTGTTGGTTGAAATAAATCTATCCTCATATGAGGTAATTTTTGATTTTGTTGTGTAATTTATATGTTCTGTTATAATAAATACATTGAGCTCTTTTTGTGGATCTGTTTCAATATTTGATATTATTAGGATCCACTTGGATTATATACCAAAGGATTTATTACCAACAGTGACTATTACGGCTAATAATGCAAGAATCTTCAGTAAATCGAATCGAGTTCTCTCATTCACTGTGTGTTTATCTCAAAATAAATACGCTTAAATTCACCTTCATGACCTGCCGTGTGTCAACGGCTTAGTGGTAGAATCCCGACTGATGCCAATTTAGTCCGGTTTCGATCCTAGCCAGAAGGAACCGGGCGTCTAGCCAAACTGATGAGCTGTGATACAGCGAAAGCGAAACAATCTATCTGTGGATGACAATATATATATATATATATATATATATATATATATAATTGTGTGTTTGGGTAGCAACCCATCTTTAATACATGCTTTGTTGAACAAGACTGACAAGTTTTTTTTTATTATGATTTTCTTGTCTGGAAATATTACGTGTAAAAATTTTCTAAAGTTTTATTGATTCTGAGGGCTTTCGCTTAAACTCTTGTTTATTTTCAAGTGTTTTGAATAAACTAATAAAATAAATGATGTGTGTGTGTGTGTGTCTGTGTGTGTGTGTTATTGTAGACGGTTTAAATCATGGTGTAATTACACAGATGCTTAATTTCTAAATGCGGCCGATAGATTCCGGTTGTTTGCAGTTTTATTAAGAGTTGGTTTTGTTTGTTTTTTCCATCACTTTTAAAGAATTTTTTTTTGCGGGGGGCAGATTTACATACGTTAAGACCAGAAAAAAAAACACATTTTCACATAGAAGAAAAATAAGAAATTATGCAAAAGCACCCTCTCAATCTTGTTCAACGAAAAATCTACACACACACACACACACACACACACACACACACACACACACACACACACACATATATATATATATATATATATATATATATATATATATATATATATATATATACTATATCTTTGGTTGAATAATCTAGACATCTTATGTCTATTTATTTTTATTGTAATCCTCTCAAATTCATGGATCTATTTCTTAATGCTGTTACTTAAAGTCGTTATGAAAGACTCCGTAGTTTTGGTTATTTCTTTTATTTTCCAAGTCATTTCAAGCTCATCAAAGATCATTTTCAGTGGTGAATTGCTAAGACAAAAAAATTAAAGTAATTAATAGTTGTAGATTTTTTCGTAAATGCGCATGAAATTTATATGAACAGCCTGAGATATATAGATATAAACATACATACATGCATACTGAGATAGATAGATAGATAACAACAGACTGGTATATATATATATATATATATATATATATATAATTTTAGTGCGCATTACTTACTGGAAAGTGCTCAATATCTGCGTTCAGATGTTTGGATATGAGTTTGTTACCCTGGGCTACAAACTGAATTGGTATCCCAGGGTCACAAACTCATATCCAAACAAGTGAATATATATATATATATATATATATATATATATATATATATATATATATATATATATATAGATAGATAGATAGATAGATAGATAAAAAATATTTTCTGCTATGTTGTAGGAAAATTACGTCCAATATATATATATATATATATATATATATATATATATAGATAGATAGATAGATAGATAGATAGATATTGTCTGCGATGTTGTGGGAAAATTACGTGCAGTCACTCATTGAAGTCAGAGACAGTTACTACTAATTGTCAAGTGTGAGTGACAAAGCATTACTCAAAATTTTATTCCTATTTGAACTCTATATGCTGGGATTGCTAACAAAACACTTGATCCAACACTCGCTCGCACGCATAATACACACATACACACACACACTCATATATATATATATATATATATATATATATATATATATATATATATATGAAAGGCTGAAAGTGTCAGAAAATTTAAAAACAGAAGTAAAATGGTACAGTAAAATAGAAGAAAGGAAGATAAATACGAAAGAAAAAGAAAAAAAAGCTCGCCAACTCTTCAGCACATTCCACAAGTAACCCGATTTAGTGTTTCGCTTGTAATTCAGTATCGGTGGGAAAATTTTTACCTGCTTGTCGCTCATTCTTCACCTTATCTTCCCCACCTGCTGTCTTTAGTTCTTTCTTCTCATCAGCCTCCCGTCCGTTACCATTCCACATCTTTTGAATTTGGTCTGTTATTTCCCCCTACGAACAATTGTAAAAACACGCCAGTTTGTTATAACAGACATCCGTCGCTCGGAGCACACCACGTAGTCGTCAGCTATTTTCGTTTTTTTTTTTTTTTTTGTTTGCAAAAAATGTGCGTATCTACATTTGAGGTTATGCATAACATTGAATAAGCAAAACAGGGCTTATTCTTCAGCGTCATAAAAGACTGTGCAGCGGGATGGTATTCAATATTTGTATAGTAATTAGTTTTTAAAAACTAATATTGAACCAATACAATGTCAGGCCTCTGATCAGTAGGTTTTGAGGAGCGTCGAACGACCACTTAATTATGGTGTTCCCAGGTCGATCCTGATCCAGGGTGGTAGAAAATGTTACGGTCCTAGCTATGAGCAAATACTTAACCCCGAAGCTGGGGTAGAAACACTATGAAATGGCAAAAACAGATCTTAATAGCAGAAATAGTTTGTAAAAATTATTACCAGCAATAAATTTTTGAAGAAAAAAAAAATATTACCAGCAATACATCTTTGAAAAAAAAATATTACCAGCAATACGTTTTTGAAAAAAAAATATTACCAGCAATACGTTTTTGAAAAAAAAATATTACCAGCAATACGTTTTTGAAAAAAGAATATTACCAGTAATACGTTTTTGAAAAAAAAATATTACCAGCAATACGTTTTTGCAAAATAAATATTACCAGTAATACGTTTTTGAAAAAAAAAAAACATTACCAGCGTCGTGAAAGCGAGTCTGTGGTGTGACCAACATAAATATTATTTAATCCATTGGAGATACAATCTCCCAAAGGGTACTTGAATTTGTAAACTATGTTGTTTTTTTGTTTTTTCAAATCACAAACGGGCAGGCTAGGAAGAATGATTGCGAAT